TCAAACGCCGTTCGCCGTTTGTCGCTGCGATGTGTAGTTTTTGAGATCTGAAGGGGGGGCCGAATCGCCCCCCCCCCCCCCCGCCAGTTTCTTGTCCCGGCGGAGCCCGCCAGGAATAGGGTTAAATTAACTATCACACTGGGTCAACGAAGAGCAGTCCCTTTCTGTTTTTAGCCCCAACCACCAATAAGCAATCATGGTGAATCCAGTTTGTAATTGAACTTCGTGACTTGGATTTCAGCATGGTTCTTTCAGGAGAGCTTCGGCAGCTGCTAATTAGTGCAGGATGCCCTTTGAGCTGCCGAAAAGCCGTGTGCAGACGGAGATGGCGAAAACGTCGCCGACAGCGGAGACGGCCAAACATCCGTTGAAAACCAAAATGTGAGACCTTATAAACCTCTGTGCACTCGCTCAGCTTCACTTGATGCTCCCAAATACAGCCATTAGTGCAAAATGCTACTGAGTATGATTCTTGCAAAACAACGACATGTCATCGTCATATAACCCTTAGCCCGCGCCCCGTAGGGGGGAGGGGCCGAAACGCCCCCCTGTCCTTTTCCGTCGATATTTCCTAAACGGCTGGCGATATCGCCACCAAACTTTCAGGACCCTTCCGGGCATCAATTTTACACATTGTGACCAAAATTTTTCCAGAGGCTATGATAGGTTGGCCACAAATGACGTCCGAATGACGTCATGTTCTGCCATTTTCGACCGAAAAAAGACCTTCGCGAGAAGAGCTGTCAGGCCTACAGCTTTGAAGATACAGAAAAATGGTCTAGACATAAAAAGTGTAGAATTAACAGGGCTACAAAACTGCTATCTCGGATTTTTGAAATTTATGAACTTTGACTCCCAAAAATCAAAAATGCAATTTTTTGGATATACTAGCCGAAAAATTCAAAAAGTTTTTTTGAGTTTCGAAAACATAAAATAGTAATATTCATATTCGAAAAATAATAAGAACGGAATATATGTGATAGTACCTACCGTCTTCTATCTACATACCAAATTTCAGATCGATATCTCGTTTTTTGGCCAAGTTATAGCGAAAAAACGGTTCAAAAATGATGACGTCAAATTTTCAAACTCAATTTTTGGCAATTCTAGACCACGTATAGGGCAAAACAAAGACCACCATTGGACTCCCCGTGACGAGCTGCATCGAATCGATACCCATTTTATGGAAAAATATCAACTTCGAAATTTGACCTAATATGACCTGACCTTGACCTGACCTTCACCAAAACGTGACCTAAGCTGGCCCCAAAGGCTGCCCGACCCACATAATCGCATTTGTCATGTGAAATGGACCATAAAACATGTATCACACGACACTTTCATATTGTGACCCCCCAGTGACCTGACCTCTGTGACCTGACCTGGTATCAGTGACGTCAGATAGCGAAGTATGTGTTTGACGAACAATATACCATCGATGGTTTTCAATAACTTACCAATATACTCGATTTCACAACACATTTCTTGAAATGCCTGTGAACGGTGAAAATCCGACCTTTGACCTGACCTGTGACGTCATCAGTTTGACCTAGGTCAATGAAATTTGGTCACAAGGTAGTTCCCGGGTGGGGCTATCCAATGCCGTTTGAATTTTGAAAATCGGCCGGTAAATTCCCGAGATCTTAGGCCCCCCCCCCCTACGTGCGGTAGGGTCCGCCGGTAGCCCTACGGGGCGCGGGTTAGAGGTTGGGCACGCCATCGAACCCAAACAAGGACATGATGTCCTGAGCCGAATGGCTAAGAACGGATCCGTTTTGAAAACCAAAGTTGCTGGAAATCCAGAAGTCGCACAATGTTCACTTTCGGGCATGGAGGTGCTCCACTTCAGACGTCAAAAGCAAGGCAACAGTGGTGCAGATTTTTTAATGATACCTAATACACTGCTTATTGACATTGTAACAGTTTTGTTGTATGTAAATTGTAAATCCCACCGAAAATATCTGTAGCATCCTCCGGCAAGAGGTCAGAAAAGAAAGGCTCACCATCAGTGTCTCTAGGCCCGTGAAATAAATGAATCCAGCATACTAGTGGCCATAATTTATCGGTGAGTGATAGCTAATCTTGTGGCCAGCGTTTTGATTGCATGGGTCATTACATACATGCTATAGTTGGCTACATCGGACGATAAAAAGAGGAAGTTGCAATTAATTTTCCCTATTTTATACGCTGATCAACAATATTCGGTCAATTCTGGTATAGGTACATTCCGTCCAGACAGTCACAGTAATTCCGAAGGGATCGATTGACACGTTCGCCGTAGGTGCATTTAAACTGTCGGCCAAATTGATGCCGGTCTAAATTGATACCAAAGAGCCGGACGCATTCGAAATGTTCCGTCGATGCTGCCGTATGACGAGCTAAAACTACTGGGCTCCTCTGTTCGTCACGCAATTAATTGGTTCCTTAAAATAGGTCCCATGGTTAATGACCATGTAATATGTAGTTGCTTGCCTGAAATTATCGCGATCAGTGATTCAATGTCTGTTATGTGTGAATGACATTACTTTTCCCCAATGTTATTATGACCGTTTTCCCTCAGGCACTGTCACTAAACGTTTCCTTGTAACCTTACCTCACTTGACCTAGGGACCCAATTGATATTATGTTATAATCTTCCGCAAGGTGGTAACGAGTAACGACGGACTGCTCGTAAAAAAACTGTCCATGTTCTGTCGATTCGGAATATTAACCCTCGCCCTGGCAGGGGGGTCGATGCGACCCCCCCTAAGGTTTTTCGAAGATAGCGTAAAAACGGCGGCGCTGCGCGCCGCCAAATTTGGCACAGCCTATGGGGCAACCTTTTTACATATGACCTGAAAATTTCAGGTCCGGGTGATTTTGGGTCAGGTCACCAGGTCAGAAAAAACGGTACAGGGTCATGGTCGAATTTCAATTTTCTTTTTGCACCTGTCCAGCTCACAGTTTTGGACTGATTTCCTTGAAACTTTCAGGGTGTGCTAAGTTCACCGAGTTGTATAACATATAGTTCGGGTTTTTTGATGTCACTGACCTGAGGTCAGCGAGGTCATTACGTCGTAATGTTAAGCCTATCGGAAAATACTAAATTCGGAAAATACTGGAGATATCCGCTTCGTTCTATCACTTTTGTGCATTGAAACCACAGTACTTAACAGCAGGTCACTTGGTGCTTCTTTGTTTGGTGTAAAGTCTGTCTTAAAAGTACCGCGCAAAGTGGCGGTGGATCCATCAAGCCTGACCGAGAAAGGTCTGCTTTAATTTGAAAGTCACCGAACCAATTGAGCTGGGGAATGGACGAGGATGTCCATTGCTTCGGTGACCCAAATTTAGCAGGCCCTTCCTCAGTCAGGCTCGATGGATCCACCGCCACTTTGCGCGGTACTGTTAAGACAGACTGTACTTATCCATGGGTCAGGTCAAATGAGGTCAACTGAAGTCAAATGACGTTTTTGCCAATAACTTGGCACATAATGACGCTAGAGCTAACAAATGGTGTCGTTGTGTTCCTTGTGATCAGCCGAATCGAATGATATGCAATATGATGCAATGTGGTTAACCTGAACTTAATTAATTAATTAATGTTTACTTAAAATTTAAGAAAAACTTTAAGTACACTTAAGCAAGCTAAAAAGTATACCAATCGACGCGCCTTGACCTGGTGAGTTCACTGGTGCTTTTTTTTGCTCTACCTTAGTTAGATCAAAAGTTATAAGCGAAAAACTTTTGACCTGTTTTTAGCGAAATTTTTACATTTATACCCCCAAAATCCCCCTAAAGATTGACCTAGAGCAACCAAACATGCACAGGGGCGAGAACTCCAGGGGACCCACCTACCTACCAAATTTGGTGTTTCTAGGTGCCATAGGAGCCAATCGCGAGGGGGGGGGGGTCGCATCGACCCCCCTGCCAGGCCGTGTTATAAAAAATGCCCTGTCAGGGCGAGGGTTAAATGGACCTCTCGATAACATAATTCAGTTTGGAACGAATGTAGACAATCAGCAGAAATTCGTCCACTCTTCGGTACTGGGAAAAAGGGCATTTGGGGGGCAGTGGCTCAGCCGTTTCATTGCAGAGCCGATGCGAGGATGGCTGAGATGTATTGATGTAGGTATTTTATTGAGATTGTATTGTATTGTATATGCATTGATGTATATAGATGGTATTGATGAGATGTGTTGAAGTTCATCTCTTCTGCTCGTAGATTACAACCCTCAGAGCAGCAGTGTTACGAATTTCTTGGAGCAACGGCCTGAATGTGAAAAGGCAAAAGTGAAAAACTCCTTCTCTCTCTCTCTCTCTTTCTCCCTCTCTCTCTCTCTCTCTCTCTCTCTCTCTCTCTCTCTCTCTCTTCCTCTCACTGTTTTTCGAACTCTGTTTACACTTAGTACAGTCTCAGCTTTAAGCACTATTATCTTAGCAGACAACTTCTACGATGCTGAACGAACGGTAGTAAACTCCTTGCAACTTGATTCAGCATTTCCGGATCGTGTTTGCTGAAACTTCAACGGTAGAGCGGAACCTCTCGAATAAAATATTCACACCGAAGTGCAACTCCTTGCTGAGAATTGAGAAACATGTCAATACCAACGCCACGGGCTACCTGTAAGCAGGGCTGCAGAGTCGGAGTCGGAGTCGGAGTCGGTCTGAGTCGGAGTCGTCTGAGTCGGAGTCGGTCGGTCTAGCTGTACACAAAGTGCAACTCCTTCCATCTACCCTCCCCTTCCCCATCTGCCGCCGGCCCTGCACCCCAGACAGAACAGTAGCCATCGCCAATCCCTCTGCACAGAATTGACCTTTGCCCTTGCGCTGTCAGTGCCCCATGCTCCCGGTCGCCGCCGCTTCGTCGGGTGTCGGGTCGGTATCAAATGTCAGTATCGTGACAGACGGTCCGGGCTTCAGCCCGTCACCAGTAGCTGTCAGAGCGTTCACCCTGGTCCGACCCGCACGTGTGCGCCGCGCCGGCCGCAGTGGGGCTCGAGACGCGCCGTAGGTCACACGATATGGACGCTGGCGGTGTGTACCGGGTCAGCGTGCGTTCATCCTATTGGTGACCTCTGAGTACGCTCGAGGCACGACACGCCGCAGGAAGTGCCCGACCATATGAGCCGGCTTCCCGGTACCCACTGATTGGGCTGCGGACAGCGTCACCGAGGCAACTCTCTGAAAGGGTGAGTCCATGATTGGTGCGACCCTGAGAGATGACCATTGCCCAGGCAGACAGGGCGCTCTCCAAAAGCGGAGTAGCAAGGCCCAGACGGGTTCGGTGATAGGTGTCCCCAGACTGCCCGACCAACCGCGATATGAGATGGATATTGAATACCATTGAGGATGATCATATGCGATCGCTGACGACTCGCTTAAGAAATTGATGAATTTAATCCTATTTGCTTCGATCAGAGCTAGAAAATGATAGAAAAGAAACGCACTCATCAAGTTTCAGCGTCACTGATTGCTTTTCATACTGGAAATGTAAGCGTTAATTAACCCTCGCCGGCCGAGGGGGGGGGGCGGGTGCCTCCCCCTCCATAGGTTTTTTTCGCGATAGCTCCGAACACGCTGGCGATAGAGAGCTAAAACTTGGTATACCTGACCTTTGATCCAAGCCGCATCTTTTGACACCAACCGCATTTTTGGGTCAGGTCAGGTCACTGACCTATGACGTCATAAGTGAACCTCTGCACGGTCTTCAGATGTTGCAATTTCGCAACGCCCTCACTGCCAGAGGAGATGTCACAGGGAAATGAAACTTGCAGGATCTAGTATCCATTATGAGTCTCACAACTTGTATATCTCGGATTTTTCCTAAAGGTCATATGAGGTCAGGTCATTTTCGTGACCTCACCATTATAAGTCAATGGGGAAAAATGGAAACTGCTATTCTGGCGCCGGGAACGATCTCCAACTATCTCAAGCACACAGAATCGTGATTTGATGCACTACTTGCAAGGTTAGATGCGTCACTTTTGCAATGTTGACCTTGCGTGACGTCATTCATGACGTCATCAAGGTCATATTAGTTTTTCGTCAATAACTCCCGATCAAATTGAGCTAGCCAGTCGAGAAAGCCACCAATGGACTCAGGAAGACCTGCCAAATCGAATGATATGCGACATGACCTCTTTTGACCAACTTTGTGACCTTGGGGTGCTGACCTGACCTTGACCTGAGGTCAACACCCTAAGTTGACCTGACCCGAACGAAAGGTATATCATTCGACGCGCCTGAGCAAGGCGAACACGATGCTGCCAAACTCGCGGCTCTTCGGCCGTTTTTTGCGAAGTTATTCACCAAAAACTGAACCGTACCCAGGGGCACTTGACCTGACCTCAGAGGTCACCGGTTGACCTAGGACCTTAAAATCGGGTACCAATCTCTGCGTCTCGTAACGGCGCACACGCTCGTTTTTTCCGCGACGCGCTAGCTCCACCAGGGGCGAAACGGCGAGAGGGGGGTTGTACCCGCCCCCCCCCCCCTCGGCCGGCGCGTATGTAGAAAACCAATAGGTCCGGCGAGGGTAAAAGGCAGTGTGCCAGCTTTCCTGGACCGTATGGAGTTAATGGCCCAGATAAGGAGAACCGGATTTTTAGAACTTATCCATACCTTCAAAACTCATGGAAACGTCTTAAATTCTTCAAATTTTGAGTACCCCAGTGCAAAATTCGCCCCGACGGGTTGTCGGTCGTACCCCAACCACATTTCACACCACTATGAACAATAAATGCACACACTGAAATCGCTATTACCGATAGGCTCATCCAATCAAGTTTCGATAAACCCGTTCATCATCATCTCCTGCGGTTTCGAACACGCCTGTTAGGTGGTGCGGTAGACCGCGCCCAAAGCCAGGGCCCCGGTAACGTGAGGTAGCCGCGTCGGGGCAGCGTGCGCTGACCCAAGCCGGGGCCGCGCGTCCTCCCGGTTTCATGTGATAGCGGCCCGGGGCTGCTCGGGGATGCGGTAGACCGCGCCCAAAGCCGCGGCCCCGGCTTGGGTCAGCGCACGCTGCCCCGACTCGGCTACCTCACGTTACCGGGGCCCTGGCTTTGGGCGCGGTCAACCGCAGGTGGCTTTTGCTCATACTTTGTGGTGCGGTGGTGGTGCGTCGGGCCGTGCGCTCTGACTTCGGCCAAGAAAAATGCGTCAGCTGATCATTGTCATTTCTGCCACTTTCATGTGGTGAGATGGGGTCATAACTTTAGAGACGGCTGTTTCATATCAATTATTTTACATAAAATACTATTTCAAACCATAAATTAATGTTCGGCAGCCAAATTAAAGAAACAATACCAATACAGGCTTACAGTTTAAATTCGACATTGTGTTGTCTACGATTAGACAGCTGATAACTCATTCCCATACGTCGTAACTCTATAATGACCTTTGCTTATTGCCACATGTGCGCCGCATTCGCGATTGTTGCCGACGACTGTTTGAAGGTCAGCCCACTACAGTTGTTATACATATCGAAAAACCGATAAACTTGTAGGCGAAAAAAGCACCATTTTAGGCCCATTTTTGATTTCTTTTGCGATTTTAGGTAAAAACAGAAACTTCTTATCCTAGGAAAAATAAAATGGGAAATCATTGGAAGGTGGCACACTACCTTTAAAGAAACAGTTGTGTAAGGTATTTAACATCTAGTTAGGTATGTCTTTGTATAACACGTACGCACAAAAACAGCTGCAGTTCAGTAGTATGAATAGAAACGGCAGTCAGAACCGGGCTTTAACTACCGCACATAATGCGATAAGAGTTCGGTGCTGAGGAACGGCCCGTTAAAATCTAATTTACGGTGGGTAGAGCAAATCAGTTTGTTGGAAAGAAGACGCCCATCGCATTGTGAACAAGCCGAGATGCCGTATCAAATATCTCAGGGGAAACGTGAATAACGTGCTTACGAGCACGGGGCGGCACAACACAAATCCTTGGGTGCATTGTAGAGGAAGATCAATACATACACACAACGGGAACTCAAGCATTGTTGATTATTGAAAACGCATAGTCCTTCAGATATGTAGGAAATCCAGGGCATCCGATTCAGAGTTAATCTTTATACATGACGGAGTGAATATGTAATAGCTAAAACGAATCTAAACACTGTGCAAATGCATATTTTCTTTATGGACAGTACAAGTGCACAACCGATGCAAATGCTCCTTTAACAATGAGAAATGGAGGTTACCCGGACCGTCCAAGAGAAGCTTGGCCTCCACAGTCCACATGCTACCCTCTGTCTAGCTACTTAGGCTACTAAGCTGTAAAATATCTCACAGTTTCAGCCTCGACCCACCGAGCAAACTATCCCGGGAGATCCAGCTTTCTGAACAATGCATGACTAGCTGAAATTCAGTTACGCCTGTCTGTCTTTGAGGAATATTTACATAGCTTGAGATGAATAATGAATATAACGTCTTCAACCATTCATCATTTGCTGCTGCGGTTTCCAAGTATGCAGCATGTAATAATGCCATGGCATAAGCAGATAAGCTCTTGTCTGAGAAAACGTTTTCTTCAAATATTATTTGTTTGGAAACGGGTTTTTCGAAGCTTCTAATGAAAGACGTTAATGAAGTCTTTCTTTTGGCAAAATTTACCGTTGTATAAAATCACAACATTTGTCATTTTACATAAATTGACCGCTGGCGCCCTGTAAAGATGTGCAAACATGACTGAGCACGTTGTAATGAGGAAAAACAAATACTGGAAAACCTCGAACTTCGTGTGCCTAGGTGGTCACAGGTCGGTCGTATTCACAATCCCGCTATTCCTCCAGCTTTTGGGCGTTAATAATGAGTCGTAATAGGCGCCTTGGGCTGGAGTCGGCATGGGCCCCTTTGTTTGGCTAATGCGGTGTAAAATGTTTATTTATTTATTTATTTATTTCACAGTTCGCTACCCATCCACGGACACCGTGGCTATTCCGGGTAGTACGTCAGCAGTACACAAGGTTACACAGGGAGTAGCACACATACCACATTCGGTGACAAACCATGCTCAGTTCACTACACGATGCACTATGTGACCTGAGCGCTCAGCAGGTATCGGCGCAGCTCCGACTTGAAGCGGGGCAGGCCTAGCTCACGTATATCATGGGGCAGTTCATTGAATTCCTTCACGACAGAATACATGAAACGCCGCCGTCCCGACTCAGTGCGAATGGCCGGGGTGTGAAGCTGCTGTACTTGCCTCGTCTGCCGCGAGTGCAGCTCACCACGCGTCACTGTCAGCCCATACAATGTGTCTGGATAGCCTGTCAGCATGATCCGCTTCAGGAGCATAAGGGAGTGATACCGGTACAGGTTGTGCGCAGACAACCACCCCAAGTCCCTAATGACGTCACTGATATGCTCATGCTTCCTTCGACCCGACACAACCCTCGCGCCAAAATTCATCAGCCTCTGGATGCGAGCCATCCGTGTCTGGTCGCAGGAACCATAGACACTAATACAATACCGGATCACCGATACAACCAGCGCCTCCACGATCGTTACAAGCGCCTGCCGCGGCAGGCTATGGCGACAGTGACTCAATCCGACGAGCATGCCGGTACAGCGCCGAACGTACCGTGCTCGTGGGGATGGCAACAGAGCGGCTGGAAAACGCCTCTCGACGACCGTGCCTCGGGCACTGTCGGGTCACGTGACCCTGAGCGCCGCAAGGAACCAGGAAGTCTGGCTTTGTCGAGACCCAAAATGGCGTGTTCACTGAGTAATGAGCATGCTAACATGTCTGGTAACACAAATGGATGGAAAACGTATCATCGTATAAGTCAACCGCAAGACTACTGGCTCAGTGCAGTTTATGCTGTTATATTTCCAAAATACTTCAGTGCGATTTGGGAGCAGTTTTTATGCCATACAAAAACAAGTCAATGAACCTTTTTGTGGCAATTATTTCCATGTCTAAAATTGTCCCTCTAAGTATTTAGAATTTAAAGGTGATACAGCCTGATACCTACTTCCAGTCTGAATTCTATTTATTTAACCCGCGCCCTGGTGTGGGTCTGAGCCACCTTCGCCCTGGTGGGGGGGGGGGCCAAAATGACCCCCCCCCCCGTCTAACTCGAAAACGAAGAGGGCTAGGAAGACGCGGAAAAAAGCAAACGAAAGCCCATAACAAGTACGTTCGAAAGTATTTCGGTCATTTTTTCGCTAAGGTCAATATTGAGGTCGCTAGAGGTCATCATAGGTCAAATTTCAGTGTTTTCGGTGTTGCCGGACATATTCCGCTGTAGCTCGGAAACTAGAAGAGCTAGAGAGCCGCGGAAAAAAGCAATCGATAGCTCTTTTCAAGCTCTTTCGCCAAGGTTCGTCAGATTTGACCTCAGCTCAACGGTTTGGCCTACAGAGGTCATGCAAGGTCAACTTGGCAAATTTCGTTGAAAATGTTTTTAACTATAGCATGCATTCACGAGAAAATAGAGAAACGATTCATGCACCATCGTGCTTGGCTCGTCGAGACGCGTCGAATGATATATAGTTTGACCTCGAAAGGTCATTTTGAAAATTTGACCTCAGGTCAAGGTCATGACCTTACCGAAATAGGTCATGCTGCATATCATTCGATCCGCATTGACGAGACAAACACGATAAACGTCGAACGGAGTCTCTATCTCTATTCAATAACAAGTAAGTGCAGAAAAACCGCTGGTGACCTCTGGTGACCAGGGAGATGACCTAGCGTGACCTCAGCGAGGTCACAAGCAAATGGTTTCACATGGGCTGTGATTTGCTGACCCAAGACACTTCAATAACGAAATATAGGAACAATCACGCCCGATTTAGCTGAAAAACAACTACTTTTCGATTCTCCCATTGACTTATAATGGGGAGCAGCGATGACCTGACCTGACCTTAGGTCACATTTATAAAAAATCCGAGATAGCCATTTTGTAGAGCTGGGCGACATCTTCAAGTACTGTAAATTTTACATCGATCGGATAAAAGCTGTGCCTTTGAGAGAGCTTTGAACTTTTTTAGAGGTGGTGTCAGTTTTGGTGACCTTGTGACCTGACCTGACCTGACCCGAACCCCCCAAAAAAGGACATGATGTAAAAATGTTGAATAAACAGCTATACAAAGTTTCAGGGCGCTAACTCAAGTGGTTTCTGAGTTATCGCTGAAAAACCACAGGGGGGGGCCAAAATGGCCCCCCCCCCACCAGGGCGAAGGTTAAGATCTTTATTTTTAGCAAATAGTTTTGTGATTTATATACAGTTTCGAATTCCGATGTAACAAAAACAAAATGATACAAAGTAGCCATTGGACAATGCAGTTTACCTGCAGATGCTTCTGTCAGGCCAGAGACCACCAACAGACCTTCAGCGAGGATTCGGGGACTCGCTAACAGCCACCAGGGAGCACAATCATAGGGCGGCAGTAATGAGATGGTAACTGGAAGATGTGACTACCGACGTACTTACTTACACCACTTGTTCGGATTAGAACCTTGGGAGTGTGTGGAAGAGATACCATCTTTCTAGTTGAGGTTTATTTGCCATTGGGTCTACAGTGCAGGGATATTTCTATTTCGCACTCCTCTGAGATGCAAAGATTAGAATTTATTATATCTGCATCCCTCTGAGATGCAAAGATAAGGTCTCGAGGGTTCATAGCGAAAAATCAAGAGTTCATGTGATGATGGGTCAATAGCCGAACGACATTTTTATTGGTTGTTTATGGATAAAACTTATGAAATAAGAACAAACTACTCTGAATCTATTTTTACATAGATGAATGCATTTAAATATAATATTTTATTAATTAAGAATAAACCTCAACATAGAAAGATATAGGATTCCTCATGGCTCACTCGTGGAAGATCGGATATCTTTTCCTCGCGTGTTACAGAAAAACCTCGCTCCTTCGTCGCTCGGTTTTTCAGTAACCCGCTTGGAAAAGATATCCTTATCTTCCACTCGGAGCCATGAAGAATCTTCTATTTCTCTGCCGACTGGGTAATTCACGGAACTTTCCCTCGAGATATATCACATTCGCTGACCGGTGAATGTTTCCTCTCGCCGGCAGGAGGGGCGGTTCCAGAAAATGTGTCGGCCACCGGGCGGCATCGAGTGCCCCCGGCGTCTTCTTTGGGCGCTACTGCTTCTTGTGGTACTCAGTGCCAGCGCAGCCGAGTCAGTGGACGCCAATGGTAAGATCAATGGCTGGTGTGATTGGTGTGCACACTGTAGTGCTGTGCTGTAAGTATTCTGATGGCTGGTTAGTGGCTATCACTGGTTAAATTGGTAGGTACTTGTTAAAATGTGCTGCTATTCTTGTTGTCATGTTTCTGTGTTTGTTGCTAATATGTGGGTGCCTGTGCATTTCTTATTATCATTTTCGCGCTTCTGCTGCTGCCATGGTGCTGCTGCTGGGCTCCCTCTCTCGGGTCTATGGAAGCTAGGCAAGAAATACTTACAAAGTAAATGACCATACCCGACCAATCCATCTCAACTGCTTGAGACATTATGGCGCAACAAAACCGCTGGCGAAAAGCTGACTTAATTCCTTCCTAGTGAAAATATAATTGCATTTACAGCAGCCATCAATTCAAAATACAATTAGTCTCTAACAAAACGTCCAGATTTACATAGCAAATGTAAACTAGAATGCCACAATCGTGTAATATGTGGATGTAACCCAGGGTAGTCACCGGTCGAATCATGGCTCGGATCGGCACGAATGTACCAGACATCTGACTTCAGACATCCAGTCCGTATTAGCTGTGAAGATTCGCACTGTCAGTTTATCACGTCGTAAATTCAACGCGGTGGTACGGCTGCTCTAGGCCTGCCGAAACCCATTTGGCTGGTGAAATAAAACTACACGTGTCCAACAGCGTAACACCGTCAAGTTTAGCCATCACGTCAGAAGACGTGCCTAGCTTCAGATTCGTATAAGCTCTAACCAGAGAGTAACCATCGAGCGCTCCGGAGCTGGGGCTCATGCTGACTGAGATCTCTGCAGGCTAACACATGGTACCTAACTGCACAGAAAAGCGTAAAGGCTAGATATCTAACATGGTCGAAAGCATCATATCCTCTATCCTCTAGAAAAATCGAATCCGAGGCTCACGTGCAGAAGATATGCCCTGGAATGCATGTGACAAACAATGAAGCTGCTGCTTCTTACGCCCCTTACCTTACCTACTTCTTACCGCTGGAGAGCATATGATAGCTCTTTTCCGTTGGTATCAGTCGATTTTTTCTCAATCTGATTATTCAACTTTCAGTGAGAAGTAACTACCCCAGAGCCTTTCATACCTTCAAATTGAGACAAAAGCAGCAAATATTTAGCTTGAACAAACATTTGAAGCAATACGCGCACACATTCTCAACATGTATGTTTTCCGGTCAGAAGTTAGTTACTGACCAGTAACCAATATGAGGGAGCCTGTAGTTTCAAGATATACGAGCATAACCGAGCCGCTGCATTTCGTAGATCGGCATTGACCCGCCGTCTCGCGTCAGTGCAGCTGAAAGGGCCATATGTCTCAATCTCTTCAGATTTTATGTCGATGGTCTACGCAGCGACGGCCTGAAATTGAAAGTTATTGTTATACCGCACACTAAGCTTCTCAGGCAGTGCCTCGAACCAGACAGTGGATCAATTTTTGTACGATCAATGGCTACGCTGGTCGGGCAATTTATGATAATTGGAATATCGGTAAGGCGCTGGAGAGTATATGGATGCAGACTTTTAAGCCAAAATGATTACGCAATGAATGTTCAAACGCATGTCACTGGAATAGTTCGATAGGAGCTCCGTAATGCTCCCGTAATCCACACGTTCTTTCGACAAGCACTCGAAAATTGGTTTGATGGGTGTCACTTAAAACCAGTATAACGCCTTTGGGGCGACTAACGGAGCGAGCGAGAGGGTGAGCCTTGCACGTGCGAAATTTCGAGGGGGTACCTCCAGTTGAGTTGTGCACGGCACCCTACTAACCGGTCTCTAGCGATGTGCCAAATTTTAACACAATCGGCTCAGCCGTTCTCGAGATCTGGAAGCGGCACCCTGCACGTGCGCACGTGCAAAATGGGTCCCAACTGACTTTTGTACGGCACCCTACTAACCGGTCCCTAACCATGTGCCAAATTTGAGCGCCATCGGTCCAGCCGTTCTCGAGATCTGGAATCGACCCCTGCACGTGCGCACCGGCAGCAGCACCCCAACTCTGGCACATGGATATGCATTGCCTAGTGGGTGCCTACCTACAAGGCCCTAAATAGCCTACCTACATGCCAACTTTCAGCGTAATCGGCCCAGTAGTTACCGAGATATTGCAACTATTACAAAAGTGACACTTCTTCGTTTTGCACGTGGCACGTGCATAAGGGGTCACCCACATGCATCGGGAACACTGAGAAAACAGTGTCCCGATTTTCGGGCTCAGAGACCAGTTTTCGGGCTAATGTACCATATTCAAAACAGACAGCACATTTCGAGAATACTTTCTGAGCAACGCCACATGGGCTCATACGATCCCTTAAATCGGTATCATTGATCGCAGAAACAGAGCTCAGTCAGTACCCATTATCGGTGTCAAGCTCTAAAACTAGGCTCACTATGATACCAGTTTTCAGCCTGATCCCCATTTTCGAGCTCACCTGATTCCAGTTTGAGGGCTCAAATTGTGTGGTGAAGCCAATATTAGGGCTCACGTCATCGCTTTTCGGGGCTTTGGTAAAAGCTGGATTGCGTCAGCTGGCTGGCCAGCTGGCGACGCACGAAAGGTATTTAATTTTAGATATACCTAAGCGCGGTAGTAAGATGGACATAAATATTTCAAATGGCTTTAAATGAAAAATTGATTGGTAAATATTTATTCTTTTATATCTAGCATTGATATGTAAGAAGCTCTGCTAGCGCCACCATACGGCGCCAGCTAGCAAAAAAATCCAGTTAATACCAGAGCCCGCTTTTCGTCCGATGCAGCCCCTCCTCCCCCCCTCCCCCGTGTCCAGCAGCTGCGAATAAGACGAAGCCGCGGACAAACTTTTTTTTTGCTCGGCCAGCCTAGCGCCAGTCTCGAGCGGTGGGACAGTTAACCCGGCAATTTTGGCCGGGATGCAAAAGTTACGTTAAACCGGTTCATGTTAACCCGGGAGCAAATAACAACGTGGGAGCCTATCTTAGGTGTGGCAAAGCTAACGGATTACTTACTTGTTGCCGAGGTGCCCAAAGAAGGTACTGGAACCGAAAACACAACATTGGTTCATGTATTTATTAACATTCATACACACAGTCATACTTGTGCAAGGTGTCAGTGTTCGGTTGTGGGGTGTAATAGCCAGGGAAAAAGTTCTATGAACTGAAAAACCCGGCGCCTATTACTTCGCAACATGGTTGTGTATTCAACATGAACTGCAAGGAGTGCAGACGACATTGCCTGTGCTAACTTAACGTCTCACGGGCAGCGCCGCGCTCTGACACCTTGGTCCCAGAAGCAGCGGCGTTTCTGACCGCAAATCGCCGGAGAGCCGGTCGACGCCGTTGAGGGGACTGAGCAGGCCGCTGCCAGCTCCACCTTCACGTCCGCGCGGCGCAGCTCGGTGTGCGGCGGCGGCTCATCGCGCGGGCCGCACCCGTCCGTCCGCTGCACGAGCCGCTTTTCGATCCGACAGCGCAACACCGGCACGCCATTGTGCTGGCTGAGCGGCGGCAGCGGCACGTAGGCAACAAAACAGTAGAAATCGATGGGCCTGGATCGGCGTTGCCAGCAACGCCGGCAGCGGCGCGGCGGGAGGCGCCAGTGCCGCCGTCGGGGACGTGTGCCCTTCGCTGCGCTCATTCGAGTTGGCCGGCCGGCCGCGCGGCGTAGTCCTTTTGACACGGTGCGAGAAGAGCCGGATGAAGGTGGACTTTTTATTGGCGTTGCTGGTGCTCACGCCGCCGGCGTCCAGTTTGGGCGGCAAGTCCGAGTACCAGGAGTCGGACAAGTCCCGCGCGAACGCCGCCAGCCGGTCGTCGTCACTGCTGGCGGCGGCCCGCCGACGGCGCTGCCTCAGAATCGGACGAGTCGGTGGTACTGAGCACCTCGCGGGACGGGTAGCTGGGAGTGGGCCGGCCGCGGCCCCTGCCAGGCCGCGCCACCTTCACCGGCGCAGCCGCCTTCAAACTGCACTTGCTGGGCGGCGGGTTGGTCGGCGGAGGCGGCAGCGGTGCCTCGACGTCAGTCCGAGTCGCTGTCACTGGGCGGCCGCCGCGGAGACGGCTTCTGTTTGACCCGCAGCCGGCCTGGGCCGGCTCGGCGCCCTCGGCCGGCGGCGCGCGCCGTTTCGAGCGTTTCACCTTTTCACTGTTACTCTCGCCTGGTCCTCAGCGTCGAGCGGCTCGGCGCTGTTCGGTTTCATGTGGCCCATGCTGCTGGGAAACTCGGGTGGGGACAGCTTTCTGACTGGAGTGCCGTCGAAGATGGAGGAGACGGGGGTGCTCGCAGAGTCCTTGCCCAATGCCCATGATAGAGCCGAGGCTCCACTGGACGCCCAGCTTAATCGGGCTATCGCCGCCCTCCTTCTATGGTGGATTCTTCGGCCCCCTACAGCCACTAGGGCCATCATATACTCCCAGATGGCGGCACCTAGGGGATGAGGGGGGGGGCCACTTGTCCACCTCGTGGCGTCGCCAGCGACGCCTGCGAGTCGGAGCAAATGATTATGGGGTCTTCCTCGAAGGACGGGTGCTTCAGGAGATGTTGCTTTGCCGTCTTGAGTGCCACCATCTCAGATCGGTAAATGGAGCAAATCCTCCCCGCCGCCTCCCGCAGTACCAATGTTGTACTGTCTGGGTGCTCGGTGAGGACCCCAGCGCCGCCTTCCTATTACTCCCCCGGTCGCAGACCCGTCGACCCAGGCCCACGTCGCACGCTGGGGGAGCGCTCCCAGGCACGCCTCCGCAGCACTCCTCCTCGCTGTCGCGGACGCCCCGATCGGCAGCAGGTCCAGGTGGACCGTGACGCCGTCTGTTGGCGTCTACGGGGGCAGTCTCGTGGATAAGCGCGCCTCGGCGGGCAGCGCCACTCCAGTGGTCCCACACCGCTCCCCCGCGCTCTCTCCAGCCGGTCACTGACTTCAGTCACGGTTGGGGGGGGGGGGCTTCCGCCACGACGTGGCGGGTCCTCCGACGGGAGGGAGAGCGCCTTCGCCAGTA